AGATCATAGTCCCATAGGACATTTGCTATATAGCTGGATATATCAAAATGTAATGATACATAATTACAATTTATAAATTATAATCAAATATGAACCTCGTTATGATACTATACCGCGTTTATAGCTGATGAAATGAACCGTCGCTAAAGGAAAAATAATGGAAAACCTCAAGTAGGTATTCGTGCGATATGTCATATTATGATATTTTAAAATAATGTTGATAGATGCATCGGCATATTATATTATATGTTATTACGTATTTAATTTTTAATTATAAAATTGTTCAGCACAGTGTGCTTAATATCGTTGCCGTACTTACCGAGGAAATGAGTACCTATACATATTATATTTTGATATACATTTTTTTTATTAAATATACATTGAATGACTACTTTGGTATTTTATTATTGAGTTTCGCCATACTCCATAACAAAATCAACAAAATGCACGCTATACTTTATGAGTAATTATTATTTGTTATTTTCTAGTTGGAATGTTTATCAATATGAGTTTTTTTTTATAGTGCGAGAAAATCGACATGAATCGATTGTTCACTTAAAAGTCGAGAAAATATATTTCTAATCACATTTTTTTGAAATAACTGCAGTAATATGAGTAATATAATATTATAATAATAAATAATATAGTGATTTAACTACATTATTAGGCATTAGGTAACGTATTCAGACCTCTAATAACATTTTAGTCTAATGATGCGGACAATATTTTTTTCCTCCAACAAAACCAAACCTCATCAATGATCAGTGACTCTGTTATAATCTTACTAAATTCCTATCTGTTAAAACATAACATTATTCAATATTTATATGTGTGTCGGTCGTCAGTACCTATGATATTATATCCGTTATAATAATAATAATCAACAATTAATATTCACTAACATTTTTACCGAACGCGTAAAATTCTCTTAGAAAGTCGACTGTCGGAATAAAATAATGCAACGACGGTGCCGCGTGCTATACTGGAGAAAGTTTTTGTCATACAATTTGTGTCGAGCTTTAATGTATATGATACGTTTTACCATGTAAACCTATATAATACCACCTTTAATAGGACATTGGTGCAGACGACGGTGGATAGTGTAGCAGCGACAGTGGTCATTGTTCCGATCCTATTATTTTTCTTTATTTGGGTTTCGTATACGCCGCCGTCATCTGTGCAGCCAAGTCTTTATACATACGTGGGTGATGGGGGGAAAAGAAAATTCCAACATCACGCATAGTCAGAAAACTGCCAACCAGTAAAAGTGTACAATAACAATAATTGTTATCAATTATTGATACTACGTACCTACGAGATGGTATTGGTCTATAACATAAGTTCAATTTACGCATTGTATATTTAATATCATATTTAATATTAGGAAAGTATATTTGAAAGTGCAACATTTAATTATTTGTCACGATTTATTTTGTTACGCAAGTCGTATAAGCATACAATCATAATATGAGTTATACGAGTATATATTATATTATATGTTTGGGAATAATATATTATTATTATTATTACTATTAAGATTAGGTATATCGGAGAACCTCATTTTATTAGGCTTATTGGTCACGCGTTTATAGTTAACTTGAGTACGGAGCTGAACCAATGGTAGATCAATTTCTTTGTTAGGCGGCAAAACGATTTATGACATTTATCTCATATAATAAGTTCCTTATATAATGTAGAATGCATAAAGCTACAGATCTGCCCTCCAAATATGTTATATTGATGAAAACATGTGGTGCTTACATAATATTAGTTATAAAAGTAGTTATAGTTACAACGAGGTATTGATATGATGAATGTCAGTCACCAGATCTGGGATATAGAAAATATATAAAAAGTTGTCTATAAATGACATGGGAAACTTTATTCTGAAAATTGGTGTAGTAAAGGTTAGGTTAGTAACGTAGTAGGTACAAAGTTTACGATAAACGAGCGTTTGGAAATCCATTGGGATATGAATCTGTTCCCAACTAGTACTGGAGGATAAAACAATGCAATAGAAAATAAAGCTGAAAAACGTCTCTACGTTTATCTATAACGCCATTTGTACGAAACATAATAGCTATAACTTATATGGGATGAATTAAAATTAAAGTACACTCAAATAAGTAATTGGGGGTCCTAATGGTTTTTGTGGTCGGTAAACTGTCACATCATAATATATATTGTATTTTCCACTTATGAGGTTCTTTATCGAGTTCTTGTTAATTCTTGGATATTAAATAAACAGGCAAACCTTGCGGGAATTGATGTATTGGGCTTAACACAGTCATATTATAATTACATATTTTATTTACTTAATGTCGACCTTTTCCACGTACGTACAAAGTAAAAGAGCTCCAAAAGTCTCGCTATAGCGGCATTAATATAATCACTATGATCGGAAATCTCTTATTTTTTCGTAGAAGTAATTTTTTCATATTTCCCCTCAGTTTCCCCACAGAAAAGTTAGTGGAAAAAAAAACACCATACCAAGTACGACTCAAAAAATGCATTGCAAGAAATTTCACCGATCTTAGGTATCTGTAGGTACTTACATTGATTTCGTCCACGAGTAAAATATAATTTAAAATTGTGCCCGGGGAGTACAACAATATGAAAAACGAAAAACTCCGAAACGTTCAAACAATGGCTGCAAACGGAATTTTGCCGCCCTTGAACGTGTTTTTTGTTGTTTTTGCCCGGCAACCATATTATTATAAAAAATAATAAACACAAAACAAATACGTTTCTCTCCGAAAATGTGATTATCGACAATCGTTGTTGTTTTTACATTTCTTCCGACTGTACAATAATAATAATATACGTGCCAAGTAACCCCGGGAACAATATTCTCATTTTTTTTTAGATATCCCGTGAGAAATAAAATATGATATTGCGAGCATTTAATATTAAAAAGTAAAAACCGTAGTCACAAGTATTTAGTTTTGCGAACGAAAACGTACCCTTATAACAACTTCGGGTTTTTAGAATATGAGCGGCATGATGAATTTATTGATTTTACAATAATTTGTGTTTTTTTTGTGTCTGTCATCACCTTTTGGTATATCAAAAATGCTTTAAAAGTGAATCTAGTTGGTATTTTGTGGAGACAAAAGTAAAAAATTCCCAATAGTTTTCAAAAGCATCGGGAAAAACATACTTATATGGAAAAACTTAGATTCTTAGGCAAAACTAGTTTTGGAAAAAATCAATTTGGATTTTTTGTGTAACTCTAAAATAAATACTCTAAACAGATTACATATAAAATTTTCACTGAATGATTTTATTATTCAATTTATAATTTATATGCCCCATAAAATTTTTGAAATATTGTGACTTATTACGCTATTTATAGGCATTAGACAATTTCGAGTTATACTATAGGTTTATTTTAACTATTTTCGATACAAAATGTATTCCATCTGTCAAAAAACTTGACAATAAAATACAACGTTCCTCATAAGTTGATGTTAGTGAAACTTTGAGTTGAGCGAAAATCCACAGTAGTTTTTATGATCATTTAAAATTTTGACAAAATTCATCAGAATCACGATAATTGGGGAATTATTTCGAGTTATTAATTTATAAAAAACTTTCTGTTTATATCTAAGCTTTAAATACAAGATTTCCCTTAAGTTTTCCCACATTCAACAAAAAAAAAAAATTAACCATAAGTCAAATTAATGTCTTACGTCTTTTGAAGCTAGACATTGGATAATATGTTTTTATATAATTTTTCGATAATTCATCAGTAAATTAACAAATTCTCATACAACAATTTATTTTATTTTATCGCTATTCAAAAAATTAAATTATTATAAATAATTGTATAACATAATATTATATTAAAATATTTTTTATAATATGTATATTATATATTTCTATATATTTTTATCGACTTAAACCAACCAATGCACGAGTCGTTTTTAATACAAAACATTTTCTAGTTAAAACGTTTTATCTCTCAATATTTTTTACTGATTGAAAGTTCTATATAGTTAAAAGTTAATTAAATTTATACTTGAGCTATATAGGTAGCAGCTACATAGAACCTTTTCATATTTCAAAGAAATTGGTGGTTAGAAAATGTTATATAGGCACTTATATAATATGACCTTATTATAATAATAATTATATAGCCAGATTCCAATGCAAAGTGCATATTTGTTGAGTGATCTCAGACAATGCTTTCCTAGTACATAATTTGTTTCATGAAGCAGACACGTCAACGGTGAAATTTTCATTTTACATTTTTTGGTCATTTTGTTAGTTTTAATGCATACTTGTACATTATTTATTTATTTATTATTCATTAACGCAGTTGGGAAATTTTAATAAATATACTAATAAAATACAGCTTTTTTTGTGTATAGTTGTTCATACATGATATAATTTGGATTGTAGAAGTGTTGGTAGCCAGAACTGCAGAACTATACTACGAAAAGGTGGTTGACTCATTTGCCAGACGCATTAGCTGGTCGGTGGGGCGATTACGACTATAATTGGAGGTACGAAAGGGGAAGACAAATTGAGCATGTGGAATGTTGAGGACCATGAAATTGTATACAGGATAGGAGAGTAGGTACCATCAATAATATTCTCTGAATGAATTATACGACTTACTCCTTTAAATTGGACTAATTTATAATATTATCAAAAGATAATTTATTAAATTGGTTTTCTTGGTGTTTAGTTATTGTTTTCTGGTTTTTCTATACAAACTGTCAATCGTTCTATGATACGTCGCCACATCAATTGATCAAATAAATTAATCAAATTTTTCAAATTTCGAATTTCGAATTTTGGGTTTTTTTTTTTAATAAATGTCCATTAAACTATTTTAAATTTATTATAAAAATAATTTTACATGTCAACTTTTAAGGTAAAATAAATTTCTAGTCCTGAATTTACCAAAGGCATTCGCTTTAAAATGTTGCCTGTTGCCATGATGTTCAAGCACGCGATTATAACTTTACACAACATATTGTGATCGTTCAAAAATGAAACTCTGCACCGGTATACCCATTACCGCTTATCATACGAACATAATGCTAAATTGCGCGGCACTTTTGCTTCTCGAAATAAATTATAAACAAGGCCACCTTTGGCTGGTGGTGGGTAATCCATCTGTCACCGACGACGTCGGCATTTGTTGTCGCTCTTTGAAGACGGTGGTGAGGCGGCGAGGATCCGTCTCTTTACCAGTGATATTATTATTGATTGCAAGTCGTCGGATGAGGCGACCCTCCGAGAGAGAGCACTTTGCTGATGATGATCCGCAGCCGAGCCGCGCGACCACCGGTCATCATCTGCTACAGCGGATCCTGCCACCTCCGTTTATTTGGACCACTGCTTTTTGTCCATTAATCTAATAATATTGTATATATATACGACGTGCCGGTAGGTTTATATAGAAAATACAACAGCCAGTATATTATATAGGTATATAATAATATGTACCTACTTCCTCCGACCTATATATAACATAACATACGTACTTATATATGTCTACATTTCCATGGTCGACGAATATGATATATTATTTATTTTATTTATTTATTTCTTCAGGGAGATAATGGATTGTGGTGTATAACTGCAGCATATACCACCTCGAAAAACCAATTTATCGGGGGCGTCATTGTTGTTTGTACAACATAACGTCGTGTGCATAGAATAAATTTAATATTTTTGAAATACAATTTCGGATAAATTAATACATGCATTAGAGATCCAAAATGTTTTTTAAAATGTATAATAATTACTTGGCTCAACGTAAATAAAATATGAAAAAAAAACTATCTTAGGGTCGCGATTTATAGAGTAAAACTGTGAAAATATATTTCAAGTTAAATAACTGATTTACTAATATATTACAATTATTATACATTTTCATATATTCACTCAAATATAGTTATGTACTCTTTAAAGTGAAGACGAGTGGCAGTTATAGCACTATAATACGCATGTTAGGTTGGTTGTCCTGACGAGTAGTGTCCTGACGAAAATCTGAAGTACCTTGCGGGTTTTATCCTGAAGAAAAGTTGATTTTTAAATATTTTGATTTATTTATGATTATTAAAATATACCGACGGATACAGCATTTATTCATGTGTAAAATATATGTATAGGTATCTACAATATATTATAATATTTTAATGGACACATTTTTCGATTTGAATTTCACTTTTTTTTCATCAGAACACACAACTCGGTTTAACTGAAAATCATCGAGCGACACAATTCCTCTTTTGGGACTCACTAACTCGTTTTCAGCCGATTATAGTGGATAAACCCGATGCCCCGGCCTAGGTTGACATTTTTAATAATAACACTCGTTAACGAAAAGTATTAACGTTTTAAAAATATATTCTTACATAATTACAACATACAAAATAAATAAAAATGTATTATTATTTATGTTGTTTAATTTTTTAATTAAAATTCCGAAGCAGAATATTTTTCCAAAAGTTTTAAGACCTAAAAATAAGTGTCTTAAACTGTTATAGTTAATAGAGTTAAGCGGTTTAAAGTTTAGATGAGCGGGGAAGTGAACCAATTTCATGGGGGGGGGGGGCTTCTTCATTCAAGATTTTCTTCCTTTTGTATTATAGCCCATCCTCTTATTGTGTCTTATGTGTACAGATTGTGTATTTTATTAATAAAGAAAAAAAAAATTATAACTTATAAACAACTCGTCTGAATGTCCAGTTTTATTCATCGATGTAGTCAGAAAAATGGTCTTTTTTGGAATACCAAAGGAAAATGTGAGCTTAAATTAATTATATCGTTAAAAATAATAAAAGTAGGTATATTTTAAAAAAACTTTCGAAAAAAAAAATAAAAACTTAAGACCCCGATAACGATTAAAGATAGTAAAAATATTGTTTTTCCAATGAGTTCAAGATACATAATTTTATAACCTATTATAAACGTTTATACTATTCTAGATAACGTTTGTTTACTGTTAAATGAATCATACAGTGTAATATTTATAAGATAGTATAGTATTCATCGCTCTGTAGATAGGTACTGTATCATGTATACACGTCCGATGACATATTCTCTCTGTATACCCGGGTGGTTGAGAATCCATACCAATCGGACGAGGCTAGTGAACGCGGTACTCGCAGACGCCCCGGGATTCATTTGGCATATAATAATAATAGCCCATAAAACAGCACTATTGTCGTTCTATACGGCTTCTATATACACGTCGACCCGTCCCCTATATATAGGCACCGCGTATATAATAATAATATTATTGTGATCGTGCACTGCAGCAATGTCGTAAAACTACCGGTGAAATACAAAGACTCGAATACGCATGGTATACAGGGTCACAATTTCCATAATAAAGCTGAATGCCCCTGTTTTATTCAGTAAGTCTTATGATCATGTGGATAATACGATTGATAAGCTTCAACCCCCCCCCCTCCCACTCCCCACCAATAAATAATCACGAATTTGTTTCATCGTACCTACTGCAGGCTACTGCACACAGAATATTAGTATTATTATAACAAAATAATAACTACGTAATTAATCGCATTATTCCATTGATAGTACTATAAAACAGAGAGAGAGGGGCTCTTACCCATGAACCACCATTGTAACATTGGTTTGCAACCGAAACAATAAATTGTTCGTGGTTTTAAAATTATTATAATCAAAAATTATATTAATCACAGTTAGTTTAATATCGTCAAAGTGTAACGTGGCCTAACAACGAAAGAATAAAAAAAAACATTTTATTTGCTCAACTCTACACGGAAAATGAATGAGCGTATAAATTGTATATACAGCTGTGGAATATTGCATAACTATATAAACGCTTATAATATATATATAAATAGTGCGGTAGTAGTGGGTCCTGCCAAATATTCAAGTAATTTTGTTAACCTATTGGTTATTAGAAACAAATAATTTTTATTCGAGTAAAAGATAATATTTAAATTTTTCAAACAGCATTTTAAGATTTAAACAATTAAAAATTACATTACTTAAATCAACCCACAACTTCTTTATTAGGTATAAGTACTATAGTCTATAGTAATGCGAAGTTGGGTATTTCATGAGGCCATTGCCTCATGACCATTTGGACGGTGGTACCCCTCGGCTATATAAAATATGACATATTATTATTACATGCAGTTTTGTATAATAAAATTTAGGGGTGGGGGGTAGTCACCTCTAACATCTATATTGGCCTCATAAAAAAAAAAAAGTTCATTCCGCCATTACAGGGTAAAGCAGCAATGCCATTGTACCAACAATTGATATTGTATCGGTGTTTTCGATTAATGGTATTATCAAACTTTGAGGAAAAAAAATTAGAATAATTATAAGTATTAAAGATTATGCATGTATTAAGAAATTAAGTTAACAAACATGCATACGGTATTATAACATTTCCGGTTGCAGTACTGCCAGTACTGAGATACTAAAAGGTTGAGAACTTCAATGAAGTGTTCATTAAGTGCATCAATATAACATAGGTATATATCGTACATCTATAGGAATAGGTCATATATGTAAGATAGTTGCTAGAGTACAGCAATGATACACTGTATATACGATAAGAGATCATTTTTTTAGATTATTATTTTAGATTCTAAGTGGAGCGTGGAAGCTAGTGGTTTTACAATGGTGTTTATTTTTTTTTATCCTGTTCCTGTATACAAAATTTCTACCAGAAGGAGTGCTTCGATTTCAACATATAGTATCTTATCTTTTAGAAAATTGGATCAAGATGGTACTTTAAACACGCCATTTTTCGATTTTCTCAATAGTTATTTAATGCCATGGGAAAACCCACAGACAAATTACGAAATACCTCTAGAAATGGGATTTTCATTTCTAACGCTTTGTGTATCACCATAGAAAAGAATAAAAAATAATAATATTATAATATTATTAATTCAACCTACAGGCTATATAATAAATAATAACAATATAAAATATCCAGACTTACAATACCATCTCCGATCAGAATCGTTTTTCTTTTACAATGATATTATATGATTGAATTCAATTTTAATACAATCCATTATACATTTACCCACTTGTAACCTACTGTACAGCAGAGCGACATCCGCTTAACGCTTTTTTGTATGTACAATAGTTGATGAAATATTAAATTTACTTATAATATAGTTTTTAGTTATACTATATACTTATTTATAATACTTCCAACTTGATGCGACGATATATTATCTTTGTCTGAGATCCATATTATGACCTATCCTAACGGATAACCTAACACAAAGGGCCTACATATTATTATATTTGCTTTCAATAATAATGTTTTTTTACTTACTAATTCAAAAATAATTTGTTCTGTACATTGAAAAGTGAAGTCTGCAGTTTTAAACTATTTTTACGACTAATTTTGCGATAACGGTATGAGGCAAACTTATTTGAATTCATTGTTATTATTTTATTTTTTAATTGCAAAAAAAATTATTAAATAAATATTTTTTTTTTTCTGTGACTATTTGTATTTTCTTAGTATCTTTATGCTAACAATTGATAAAAAAAAATGTGCAAGAAGCATAAATAAGTATCTATATATAAATGACAAAATATGTATTTAACATAGGTAGGTACTATGCATAGGATGCATAGCAGGAGCATATAGGTAGATGTTAATTTCTAATTAAATAATAAATATATATATATAATATGTGTGTGATAGTGTGTGTGTTTTTACTGGACTTCGTGCGTGCTTGAATGCATCGTAAAAGAACCGCTTGTACCTGTATTAGCGAAAGAGCCATGGTTTTACGGTCCACGCGTGTATAAAATATTAAAAACTAAGATTTACGCGGGCTCGGTAAAACGCGTTTGCAATTAATTAGACGACTCCCAAAGTAGGTAGCGTACCTACATTGTATAAAATAATGAGATAATCATACACGAGATACATCTGTATCTTTGTAATTATATATAAAGGTACAAATCGAGTAAAACGCGATACCCTTTTGTACGTCACGGACAAAGATGACAGTTTGTAAAGAATGAAATTGGTCCGAGAAATGTCGTCAACCAGAAATATTAATAACAAAACACGTTTACAGCCAAAAAATGTTTGTTTTTTATCAACCAATGACGCAAACTCCCTAGATTGCAGGTGGTCAAAGATGAAAAAAATTTAAGCATTATATTGTTATATCATAATATTTTGTACCCGCGGAGATCATATTATAAAGTAAACAAAACTGAAGGCGCTGAAGTCCCCCATTTTTTTTTTTTTTAATTAGTCATATATAATATGATGTTCAATGTTTATGGATTCACACAATGAGCTACTTCGCATCCCCTCCCACGCACATAATATACACGCTTGGAAGACTTTTCGTGGGGATGTCCCACC